GTGAAGGACCCACCGCCGAATTGCCGCCAAAGACGCGGAGCATGGAAGGACCGCCCCGCCGCCAAATTGCTGCCGCCGACCAGGAGCGTGGAAGGACCCCCGCAAAATGCTGCCCCCCCCCAAATCCTGGTGCCCTAGGCGACCGCCTAGGTCACCTAAATGGAAGCACCGGCCCTGGGAAGGGGTGAGAAACCTCATGTCACTTTCATTTCAGGACATGTCAGCATCTTGATTCTGCCTAACGGGGGATGCCAACAAGGAACAATGGGAAGTCTGGCTATTAAGACTCATGAAAATCCCCTTTTACACCCTTATCATTCTCCTTGTGAATAGAGCTGGTCGGAAAAAAGTCGGCAACACAGTTTTCTGTCGGAAAATGCCGTTTCGGCGAAACTGAACTTTTTTGCAAAATTTTATAGATTTTTAGGGTTGGAAATGTTGAAAGTTCCCATTTTGACATTTTCAAAACACAAAGTTGCCATTTTCATTTCAAAATTACTTTTTGTTTTGAAATTGACTTTATTTTAAAAAACATTTTTAAAAATAAAAAGCGTCAAAATTGAAACAAAACATTCTGACTGATCCAACGCTGTTATTTTTAAAATTTCATTTCACAAGTTTGGCATTTCGTCCCAATACGGGCTGAAAAAAATGTGAAATCTCGAAATTTTTCACAGGATGAAAAATCTATTTTCCAACCAACTCTATTTTATTAACGCATCTGCTCTCATGAGCGGTTATGAGGGAGGGGAGTGGAATCAGTTCATGTTAGGAACACCACCACAGATGTCTGGAGATTTCTCTTTACACGCTCCATCTGCCTGGGGAGCGCAAAGCTATGTAACAGCCTTTGTATTTATTGGAATATGAAGGACGTTTAAATATGTGGCATTAGAAGAAAGTCAACCTATTTTTTTTTTTAGTTTAGATTATAATGACTAGGGCTTGGATGTTCAAAGTGCCCAAATCTCATTGAAATTCAACTCCCTTAGCCTGCCGTGAAAATGCCAGCCTAGATCACTAATGCTGAGAAAAGCCTGGGTTGATGGAAATACAGCACATCCATGAAGATACTAGTGGAGCAAAGGATGTGGCAACAAAACATTCATGCTGGGGGATTTCCTTAGTGAATTGTACCTGAAATTGTTATTTCGTCCTGGAACAGTCAAATAGTTCGTTTTCCCCAGTGGTAACTGCATGACAGTTGCTTCAGCAGCTTCAAGCATTTTCTGAGACTCCTGTTTTAAAAAAAAAAAAACAAGTTCTCTCTCTGTTGAGGAAGAAATTAAGGGCGGTCTCACTTGGTTATTTCTGCTGGCCAGGGATACAGATGAAGTAGAACCGTGAGAGCAAAAGCTGTTGGATCGTCCGCCCCAAGTGCAAGTGGCTTTTTTTTTACCTTGCCTTCTCTGACATAAATAAATAGCAACACGTATATTTTAAAAACAACAACCCTACCCAAACAAAACACTCCACGGAACACGCAGGACGAGAGAATGAATTACGTGTTGTTATGTAACGCCTCCGTTCAATCTAGTAGACTGCGATTGTAAGATTTGTAACTTTTCAGTCATTGCTAGTATGATCATTAAGTTCTGTAACCTTTTGCAAACTTTGTAACTTTAGTTATTGTTAGCATAACCTTTTAAGTTCTGTAACCTTTTGCAAAGTTTGTAACTTTAGTTATTGTTAGCATAACCTTTTAAGTTCTGTAACTTTTGCAAGCTTTGTAACTTTTCAGTTACCACTTGTATAAACCTCCAAGCTTTGCAATATTCCATCATGCAATCAGAGAGAGTGTGAACAAGGGAGTGTGTGTGGGAGATAAGGGAGTGTGAACAAAGGAGTGTAGGTGGGACTGGGCGGAGAGGAACTGCAAGGAAAATAGAGCCAGGAGACAGGAGACAAGTGTGTCTGATGTAATCTGCCCTGAGAAGACAATCATGGGGTGCTGTAAAGAGAAGAACTTGGTATGAATGAAAGGAAGGAGGGCTGGAAATGCTTCTCGGTGATGGACACAGAAGGGAAACTCAGGGTACATGACAGGAGCCGCCCAGTTCCATAAAAGGAAGAAGGCATGCACACAAGCCCGCTGCTTCTTCACCTGCTCACCGGCCCGGATCCGTGACCGCAGGCAGACACACCAGATCTACTATGCTTCGGCTTCTCGGCTTCCTCTGCTGTCTCCGGTAACTCTCCGAGTGTGTGGGTGCATGTGGGAATGAATGTGATGAATGTGTGCGTGCATGAATAAGCCCCATCCCTTTTCTGTTTGATCCAACAGCGGCATTTAATAAAAACAATGTAACCCTGGGTTGGTCTCTAGGGAAACTGAGGTAACACATGTGCCCAGATGTTAGCCACATCGCTTAATGCCCGACTGGAAGGCACTGAGATACGACAGAACCCGTATAGTTTAGTACAGTCATACTCAGACTGAGATTCAGGAGACGCAAGTGGCTCTTCATTGTGTCTCCTGCCGCACATGATATTAAAACACGGCGTGATTTAACGATTATCCAATCTAAGTTATCCATGAATCAGGATCCTTTTGCTAGGTCATTAACCAATTGTACTTGGTCAGTCATTTTGCTGATATATATGAATTCATACTGCTGCGGCTCTTCTGGGTAATGTTGATCATTAATTTGATTCCTGAATCCCTGAGGTCTGGATATAACTGGTATAGTACATAGTGTAGCATAGTTCTGGCCCACCTAATGTGTTGTATATCCTGCAAAACATTTCAATTTCAATGTAACTGCATTTTCCAAAGGAAAACGGTTCCGTTGAAAATGACCAGCCCTAACCCTCCTGCTTCCAAATACATTACATTGCTCTTTATTTGTGGTCCTCCAGCCAGGTTTCAATCCATAAACAAAGGGTAATACTGGCAAGAGGAAATGTTATGAGTTCCTAGGCGCTGTCTAGCCCGGGACACTCAATGGATATTACCTCTTCTTCCTTGGCTTTATTTTTGGCATCATCCAGTTTTTTCTTCTTGCTTTCTGGCATGAGGTCATCAAGCCAGCTGAGCTCCCGCTTCGAGAAGCAGAAATCCAAGACTTGCCGGACAAAGACCAGAGCCAAGACCTACATGGATACAAATGAACAGCTAATCAGTTCAAAGACGGCTCCGAGCCACTTTTCATACCAGTGAAGTCGATTCGGGTATAAACGGGTGAAATGGACCAAGTTGATTATGGTTTCACTCCATTTTCAGATTCAGAACATCTTTTGTTTTCAGGTATTATTGTATCAACCAGGCAAGGTACTAACAAGCTTCAACAGGACTTCATTTTTACAGTGGAAACCTCTTTACCAAGCTGCGGCTGCACCCTCTGTAACTCTCACTCAGCCTCCTCAACTCCTCCCCCGCTCCTTCCTGTTTCCTGTCCTTTCAGACTCCCAACAGCCAGTGCTCCCGCGTCTAATAATTACAGCAGCATCTAAACATCACAGGTATGCATTAATCAACATTCTGCAAACACATTGGGCCCGATCCTCATGTACAGCGAGGCCCCTCAACAGTGCTCAGGTGATGCACAGGGGCCTTGTCTTCATTAGGGAAAAGTGTGTTTTTAAAAAGTGGTGAAATCCTAGTGTAGACAAGGCAAACGATCATTTTAGCAGGCGTTAGCTGGTCGAGTTCAACCCTGGACTCCTGCTCTGGGTTGTCCTCAAGCAGCTAACTACAACTGCCTCGTCTACACGGGGATTTTGACCTGGTTAGTTCACACGTGTTAAAAATCCATCTTTTTTCCCAGTTTGGACATGGACCCAGAAGCAGGCCCAATACCTGTCCAGTTAACCTAGCAAGCGTAACAAAAATGCTGCCCCCCAGCTCATTCCTAATGGCAGGCTTCAATGAGCCCGCTCGTGCGAGCAGGGGTGACTCCAGGCACCAGCACACGAAGCGCATGCCTGGGGCGGCAAGCCGCAGGGGGCAGCCTTTGGCGGCATGCCTGCAGGAGGTCCGCCGGTCCCGCGGCTTTGGGGGCAATTCGGCGCCGGGTATCTCCCGCAGGCATGCCGCCGCATCCGCATTACCAGCGGACCTCCCGCAGGCATGCCGCTGAAGGATGCCTGACTGCCGTGCTTGGGGCGGCAAAAGACATAGAGCCGCCCCTGCGTGTGAGTAAGGGATATAGACGAGGCCTTTAGGGATCTCTTCTCGTTTGCACCGCACAAAAGCGCCTGAATAGGGAATTATATTGACACTCAATTTACTTTGGCATTGGAGGCTGTAGGGGAAATGAGACTCAGTAAGACCCTTACTAATTCTTGAACAAAACCGCCAATCACACCCTAAAGCAGACGACTGGTGTCTATCGATACAAACCATCCAGCTAGTAAAGAACAAGAGTTTTACCATCATGGGAAAGACGATGGCAGCAGGAGACACTTTGATGGCCCAGAGTGAAACAAGGCACATCAGCTGGATCACGGTGAAGAGATGTACTTTTCGCAAGGGGACGTGCCGTAAGTAGATAAAGTCGGGCTGGTGTTTTGCCGGCATTCCAAACAGCTTCAGGCGATCGAAGAACTGAAAAGACCATGTACAGAGGAGGTTCTGATTACTCAGAATTTCAAATGCTGGCCGAGATTTGCATTCAGTAGTTTAAGTTATTAACAGGAAGGGAAATAAAAGAGTCTCCTTTAAAATAACAATCTAGTAGGATGTTGAAAATTACCATATGCAAACCAGCGTGAGACTTTGTCCCCCCCAGTGGCTAGATCACGTGTAGTGGTTTGTGATTCTACTACTGCCTGAAAGCTAATGGACAAGGTCCTTTAGCTCAAGGAGTAATAACACCACCATATAACTCTTATACAGCACTTTCCATCAGCAGATCTCAGAACACTTTACACATGGGGAAACTGAGGCACGGGGTGGGCAATGGCTTGCCTAACATCATCCAGAAGGCCAGCGCCAGGAATAGAACCTAGGTTTTGGGAGTCCTAATTCAGTGCGCCATCCATTGCCACACTATCTGGCACACAGCCTTGCGTTACAAAATTACATACCTGAATTCCTCTGAGTGAAGAAACGCCCATGTAAAGGAACACACCATAAAGCACCGGCATCGGGATAAACTGCAAAGAGAATGTAAGTATTAAAGATAATCCCGTCAACAGTCAATAACAGCCATTTATCTAAGGCTCGCCCATCATTAAGGCTGACATTTTCCATGCTTCAGCTCTGTTTCAGAATGACTTTTTGGGGAAAGTTACATCAAAAACGATTCGGTCGTTTCCGAGAACGAGGTTAGAGGAAAGTAGGTTCTTTGGCCAATGTTCAGAAGTACTTATCTCAACGCTGCTGCACTCCGTGACATTAAAGAAAAGCCATCCCCATAGTTCACTGTGACTAGCCTGCTTCATCTTAGCCCACAGATGACGTTTTGGGGTGAAAACTTGTAAGAAAGTCTGTGCGGCCACTATGGAAGGGTTAGCCTTTATAAAAGCAGTGCATGCTGGGAACCACAGTCAATTGTAACTGGAAGACCAGCAACTGGATGTGGTACTGGTCTGAATATGCTTGATTTCATCCAGTTTTAAAAATTAAAAAAGGGATGAGCCTGGCCCTGGCTGGAAGAAAAGAGGAGTTTGTGGCACATGCTCCTGTGCTCCAGGATGATGGCCTAGACATGACCCGAGTCCAGACTCTGGCTTCATGTCTTCATTCAGTTTTAAATCAGTTCCACAGAGGGGAATCCATCCAGGCAGGCGTTCCCCTCCTCGGCACTCCGGGTCTTATGGCTTGCACGCACATCCCCGTCATCGACACGTGCAAATGAGAGGGCTCCTGTGTGCAAAACCCACAGCCAGGCACATGAATCATAGAATAGCAGGCTTGGAAGGGACCTCAGGAGGTCATCCAGTCCAAGCCCCTGCTCAAAGCAGGACCAATCCCCAGACAATTAAATTCACATTCACATGTGGCGCAGGCATGAAAAACACAGGCATAGAAATATACACGCACAAACAGAAGGCCCATTTGGACAACCTGGCTGTATGGGTCTGCCACTTTGTCCATTAGCCCTCTTTAAGGGCATGTCTTCACTGCATAAAGCGATGTGTTCTTAACTCGGGTTAGCTCGCTCAGGTTAAAATAGCAGCAACTCAGCTTTTAACTCAGGTTAGTAGCTCGAGATAAAGTCTATGCGGAGACTGAGGTTGAACACAAGCTGCTAACGTGAATGAACAGCTGAGTAGACATGTCTTCACTGCTGTTTTAACCAGGGTTAGCTAACCTGAAAACATACCCTTTTTTTTTTTTTGTCTTCAGTGAAGACATACTCTAAGATGGAAGCCAGTTCTGAGGAAGTGAGTAGGGTGAGCTGCCACCTCTTATGGTAATGCTCCTTGTAATATTTCTTATCACATTATCCCTGGAAATAGGAACCTGGGAGTTGCCAGACTGAATCAGACCTGAGGTCCATCTAATCGGTACCAGATGCACCAGAGGAAGTGCAAGGACCCAGCAATAGGCAAATGTGGGATAATCTGCCCTCCCCTGAAGTCTCATCTTAATAATTAATAGTTAGAGATTGGCTTAAACCCTGCAGCACAGGATTCTTTATCTCTTTTTACCCCTTGAATTATGTGTTATAACTATGGATATTATTGTTATCCATATAAATGTCCAATCCTGCTTTGAATCTTATTAAGTTCTTGGCCCCAGCAACATCATGTGGCAGTGAGTTCCACAGTTCAATCACAATATTTCTCCATATATTTATTGTCCCAATGAACTTTGGGTACTTTGTGTTCTGTTACCTTTAACACAGCAGTCATGAAGACGGAACAGCCCATAAGCACAAAGATCATGAGGCCAGTGACTCTTTGCTCTCGTATCCCGAGAAATTTCGGTTGTTCTCCCGGAGCTGAGCAGCCAGACTCTAGTTTAAGGCTGTTCACATGGGTGATGGATAGAACAGTCGCAGCGACAAACCAGGGCAGCCCCATCACGGAGCACACCCCAAGCATTATTGCTACCATCAGAAGGTCCAGGTGGTAGCCACATCCTTTCTGCAAGAAAACAGAATCCAGTGAGACAGGACACAAGGTTCCCCCAAAGGGATGTTCTTTGAAAACAGATTCATGGGTTGAAATCCTGGTTCACGTTAATGTCAGTTTTGCCATTGACTTCAATAGAGCCAGGATTTCACCCATAGATATTAAGGCCGGAAGTGACTGTTATGATTAGCTAGTCTAATGTGCACAACACAGGCCATTCACAGAATTTCACTCCGTTATTCCATATCTTGAAGTTGAGCTGGAGCACAGATTTCAGAAACACAAACTAAACCTTGATGTATGATGCACAAGTTCTGTTTTGTCATTAAATGCCATGTAACGATCTGAAAAACACCAATATTAATACAAGAAATAAAGAAGCGCTGAGTTATTTGTGCTCATAAGAATTCTTTCAGAAACAGAGAATTCATCATTTTTATCCAGAAAAGTTCCAGCAGGAAGATTTTATGCTTTAATAAAGCGCCTTGGAAAACTAACATCCTTCAAGTCTATAATTGTCCAGTCGTGTAGAAATTAACTTTTAAGTAGAGTTTGGTGGGAAAACATTTTAATTCTTTGATAAAAATGAAAAACACTCAAGTTTGTTGACATTGTTCTTGAAAAACTGTCCAAAAAAATCTCTTTAGCTTTTGGAAACTGAAAACCAATAACAAAAATTAGGCCTTTTTAATATGAAAACCTGGAAATTATCAACAAAAACAGATTTTTTTTTTGGCAGAAATTTCCATTTCATCAGAAAGCTATTTTTCATCAGAAAAATTTCAACCGGTTTTATTTTTAATCAACTAAGAGAAAGCTATAGTATGAGTTGCTTTGTGGTGTGTCAAACTAATTAATTCCCCAGTCACTGATGGTAATACAAACCTCTCCTCGATATTTTGGTTTTAGGCTAATTTATTTGTTAGGAAGATTATTGGCCGAATTCTCTGTTGCTCTGCTCCATGTGTAGTCATTTAGGACCTAATTCAGGAAAGCAATTAAGCAATTGCTTAAAGTTAAGCATGTGCTTAAGTCAGGGCCTTGCAAAGTGAGTGCAAAGCACCGATGTGGAAGCATGTCACGCTCACTTTGCATGGGGAGTAAATGACGCAAGGTTCAGAGTAATGGAGGATCAGGTCTCTTCATCCACTCCTAAAACACTGTTACCTTGAGTTTATGCTCCTTTCTGTTTATGATAACAGCAGTGATTTGCTGGTCCATGAATATCAAGATGGTGCAGAGGAGAGCTGGGATGAGAGCTGCTAACACCGTCCACCAGGGATTGGGGCCTATCGGGCTAATAATCCACCCACGGTCATCTCTTGTCGGCTACGGCAAAATACACACACACACACAGCATAATAAAAGCCATTTATTGAAGCAATTGTACCCTCCATTCTCAGTCATCTTTCTATCTATGTACTTGTCCGGCTCCCATCTCCACAGTACCTGAGGGCCTCAGTCTTGAATGTATTTATCCTCACAACACCCCTCCAAGTTAGGGCAGTGCTACTGTCCTCATTTTACAGATGGGGAACATGTTACTAAAGAGAACATTTTCTAAAGCTTCCAAAGGATTTAGGAGCCTGTGTCCCATTTTTTCCCAAAGTAAAATATCCCATTGATTTAGGCTCCTAAGATCCTTGAAGGGGTATGCCTTACTCTCATTGATTTCAATGGGAGTTAAGTGCTTAAGTATCTTTAAGGATCTAGGCCTAAGTGCCTAAGTCACTTCTAAAAACAGAACAACCCCCAAGCCACTCGGGGGCTTTTGAAAATTCCACCCTGAGAGTTGAAGAGGCTTTCCAAGGTCACCCAGGGATACAGTGACAAAATCAGGACAGAGCTCACATCTCCTGAGTCCCACTCTTCACTGTTCCAAGCACGAGATCCCACAGCTAGGAATTGGATCCAGGAGTCCTGTCTCTCGCTGCTTTAATCACTAATCCATACTCCCCATCCAGAAATGGGAATAGAACCCAGGAGTCCTGACTTCTAGTCTGCCATCCTCCATCCACTAAAGCATGCTGCCTTTCACCACATACAATGTCATTACAAATGTGGATTGTTCAGTGAACTCAAATCTGTTACATCATTTGCTTACCTTGAAGACACCGGGAACCTGTAGCTTTGGTGATGGGACTCCAATTAAGAAATCAAAAGTCACCATAGTGACGATAGTTAAGAAAACGGCAAAGTCACTTATCATGGCTCGTACCTGGTATGAGAAATTAAAGAAGCATTTGGCATTAGTAAGGCTGCAAGTTTGTCACGGAGGTCATGGAAATCCAATTCCGTGACTTTCTGGGACCTCCGTGGCTTCTGCTGGAGTAGAATCGTAGAGTCATAGAATATCAGGGTTGGAAGGGACCTCAGGAGGTCATCTAGTCCAACCCCCTAGTCAAAGGTAGTCTCGGACCACACGCCCCCCCCAGCAGCAGCAGGAGTTTGGGTGCATGTGGGAGGGGGCTAAGGGTTGGGGCACAGGACGGGGTGAGGGCTCTGGGCGGCACTTACCTTGGGGGGCTCTCCAGAAGCGGCGACATGTCCCTCCCTCAGCTCCTACCTCCATGTGCTGCCTCTGCCCACAGGCACTGCCCCCACAGCTCCCATTGGCTGTGGTTCCTGGCCAATGGGAGCTGCGGAGCCAGCGCTAGGGGCAGTGCGCAGAGCTAGGAACTGAGGGAAGGACATGTCACCACTTCCGGGGAGCCGCGAGGAGCCGGGTGGGAAGCCTAGGGTGACCAGATGAGAGGAAGAAAATATCAGGATACTATGGGGGGGGGGTCGCCAG